TAGACGTCCTGTTACGCCTTGAGCTTTTACCACGCGTCTCACTGGGGCTTTTACCCTTGCGGCGAGCTTTTAGCAACCAGCCTTCGAAGCCAGGCTGTCCTCCCTCTCCCTTCTCCCTGAGTTCTCTAAACCCTTTTAACACCAGACCCGTACGCGGACGGCGGCGACGCGCAGAGAGATTTATTGCACCTGTATATTGTGGAACCTCTCTTAATCGCTCGTGAAAGCCGCGACGCGCGAGTTCTCGCGTAGCTTTTCCAACTCTCGACGACGGCTTTGTTCGCGGGCTGCCTGCCACTTGAATAAAATATTAAGAATATTAGATGGATCTTGGAAATAAAGGCGAATATTCGCGGTTGAGAAGAAAAATTTATCCCGAAGGAAAATTCTCCGATATCACTTTTCTTAACACAAAGAACAGCTAAAGTATCTAAAAATTTGATCGGGTACAAATCTGAAAATAATTTTAAACCATCAAAATAGTTATTTAGACCTCTTTAGCATGGTGATAACGCTATAGAAATTTTTGGTGTTCTAACTATCAATTTGAACATAATTATATTGGCCCAACCAAATTATTTTTAGAATTGTATCTGACTAAATTATTTTTATGTTATATTTCAGCAAAATTGTTTTTTTCATGAATGTACGTTGTTAGAAGACAAAATTATATTATGAAATATAATGTCTTTTATTATTATAAAAATATAATTAAATATGTACAAGAATTCTGTAAAAATTATATAAAAATTATATGAGAATTCCCTATAGGGGAAAAATGAGTTGATTACTGATTTATGAAAAAATGAGACATTTAAGATCCCTTTCTGCCGAGCAGTGCCATCCATTATTCTATTGAATTAAATTATGTATTATTTAAATTATAAAATTATAAAAATATTCTTTGTAAGAGATAAGACTGAGATTAGACTGATTTCTCGCGAGTTACGACAGAGGCATATGAAAGTTTTGTATTATTTACCGGTGCACTCGACGAATTTTATTGGCCGATGCAATCGCGCGTGTAGCTTCTCGCTGCGATAGAAAAGAGAAGAGGAGATGGAGTCCAACGTCATAAATCGCTCCCTCCCGAATGTCGCCCGGTCTTTTCGCCTCGAATAAACCGCGTATTCTATCGATCCGTACGATTTCGCTAGAACTCGGCAGCCGTTGCAGCCTCGATCGCCTTTATCAGTTCTTGTAGCTACACGTCGTACCCGCCAATACCCGCAAAGTCTAAGCTAATTTTATACCCGGCCCCTTCCCCCGCGCGGATCCCCCGCAAAAACCCTCTCGCTGCCGCGCTCATTCGAAACTTCGAGACATGTCGTAAAAGTAATCCCGATTCATTTCCGCGGGATTGCTCGTGTCGTTCTTTTCTCTATCGTTCTCCCCGCCCCCCCCCCGGCTCCCTCGTCCCATCCAACTTGCCACCCCTCCACCGATGCGAAGAGTTAACGAGAAAAGTAATCCAATTTTGGTCCGGCAACGGGGTAACCCGATCGGGACATGCGGTTGCCTCATATCGTTGCAGCATTTCTGTTGTTCGCGGTTGAAATCTGAGGGTGAAATCTCACTCGAAATATATCACAGTCTATTGTGTCCTTGAATTACGTTGTTTAATAATTTATTCGACGTTTAAAATTTAGGGGCCAGGACACAAAAACACTCTGTAGAGAAAAGTGTTTTATTACAATCTGTTACTGTAAATCTCGTTTGTTGGTGATACAAATTTTGCTTTATTATTCTACACGTTGATGTAATTACACGATGTAATTACACTTGCCAGACAATCTTTCTCCGCTTATCGACTAATCTATCTCGAAATACGTCAAAGTCGATTCTGCCTTGGATCACGTTGTTTAATAATTTATTCAACAATCTCAAATTTAGGGAGTAGAGTTAAAAGAGTAATTTGCGACAATCTCGCAAATTACTCTTTGCGACAATAAAGCTCACTTGTTGTTAATACAAATTTTAAATTATATAACCTGTCAAACAATCTTCTTTGCGATCAACTTTTCGATTTATCACACAATTCCGGTTGAACAACGAATTATTTATTATCCCAAAATAACATCCTAAAAATAATTCAAAATAATTAGTTACAGCTTATTAAAATATTTCTTAATAAGCTCCTTACATTCAAGATAACGTGCTTGCGTGCGCACGATTTACACGGTCGGAAAACATTTTCATTTAGTAATTAATACTTCATTTCCTAGAGAATTAAGACGAGCATCGTTGTCTATTGACTCGACGTCCCTCGCACGAAAACACACACTCGTTGCACTCTGCTCTATAATGGAGGGAACTTACGGAGGAAAAGCAATCTCGCGGGAAGGCACACCGGCAAAGTCGAGTTTGCTGCCGCCGCGTCTTACCGGTTTATCTGCGACACCCACGGGAAAATCGGGCACGACGACGAATCTGTGTCGCGTGTGTGCAAACATCGTTTCGTGGTTCGACCTCGCTGGGGAGCTTAATTTAATTACGCGCGTCTCGCAACGCGATTCCTGCGACCGGATCCGCAGTCGCGATGCTGCGAGACGGCCGATCGTCGTCGTTCAACCGATGATTTCGCGATTCGATGAGATCACCGTTCGCGAACGAACGGTTCGCCTCGTCATTCGAAAATAAAATGGCATCGCGAATATTAGTGCCTGTGCCTGTTCGAATTTTTATTTATCGCAAGTAAATTCTGTATTTGTATTAATTGACCGCAATACGCGATCACGGTGCAAAAAGATAGATGTATAATAATTATAATAATATATTTAATTGAAAATATAGTAAAATTTTACACCCGTACAATCTCGATTTTTTTTTTTTTGAGTCCACGAATAAGCGGGGTTGCCCTTCGGCGCGCTAAGAGGATTAAAGCGACGACGCGAATCCGGTAATTACTTCGCGTGGAGTTGCAAAGGATTATGAGCCGTAATTCTGCGGGGCGCGTGCGAAGCTTGTGTGTGTGTGTGTGTGTGTGTGTGTGTGTGTGTGTGTGTGTGTGTGTGTGTGTGTGTGTGTGTGTGTGTGTGTGTGTGTGTGTGTGTGGCGCGTGCGTTTTGAACACTCCGCGACTGCGAGCGTGCGACACCTCCGAATTTACCCTCCACGTTTCCGAGTGCCCTCGAGGAAGTGAAAACGCCCCCTCTTTCATTGGACGGATTCCTAAAAATGCGCACGTTATTCGCGCGGCGCCCGACCACCCCGAAATACGAGGAAGAACGGATGGAGAGCCGCTAGACGAGGAGGATGGGGAAATTCCACGGAATGTTTCCTGTTTTGTGCCTAACAATAGCACTTATCTTACCGAACGATTCCTATCGCGCCTGTAGAAGCGATTCTCACCCCATCCGCGGTGTCGACGATGAATTTTAGAATGTCCTGGCACGCTCGATTAACACCCTTCTCCTCGTTTTCCCTTCGCAATAAACGCGGCGATTTATCCAAGCGATTTATCGCGTTATCGATATGACAGATTGGCTGCGAATTGGTATCGTAGGTTATTTAAATAACAATATTGTTTTTGAATTAACAATATTGTTTATTATTGAAAAACGAAAAATATAATAACAGCAGTTTTTATATAACAAGAGCATTGCTAAGAATTAAGAGGAATTAAAATTATTCAGATCTAAAAATTGGACTAGAAAAAGATTTGAAAAAAATTTATCTTTTTTAACATCCAATTTAAATGTTCTACATAATTATTTTAATTATCCAACAGGATTATTTTTAGATTTGTATCTAGCCAAACTTCAGCAGTTACTTTAGCAAAATTGTTCTTTCTGCTAATTTATTGCATTTTGAGTAAACAGTAACAATGCTGCAAACCAGAGTCTCCTTCAGCGGAGACAGAAATTTCTGCATTTAATTTACGACTTGACACTCGCTGATGTGGATGTGTGCAGAAGTGCGCTTCCCCTTGCACGCGGAAGAGAAAACAATGTCTTCGTCTGTCCACCTCAAGTCCATGCGATTTGTGTACCTACGTAAACGTAGATACGCTTGGGTCCTTAAAACTAAATTGCATTTACCAAAAGTCTCGGCGAGTCTCTCGCTGAGGCTTTTCTCCACATCAAACACACTCGAGTCGTGGTATTTAAGCTGAAGACATTTCTTCCTCCATTATCTTCCTTACTTCCCTTTCTTCCCTCTTTCTTCAGCTCTAGTTTCTTTGTCGAAGAAACGGATGATTGTGAGGAACGCAGAAACAAAACTTGTGTTCCGTGTAATTTTCTTTTTATTATGTTTAATTAATGATGCTGACTCCGCATAAAAATATTAGATTGCTCATATATCCTTGTCATGAAGCTCACAATACTTTATAACATTTATTTATCATTTAATTACTTTTTCCTGTTACGACTTAAAATAGAGATCGATAAACTTCTGCATAAAAAGGCTGGATAATAAATATTTCAGACTTTGCCGCTCAAGAGATAAAAACAAGAGTATTACGTAGGATCTTAAATAACAAGGGAGAAAATAAATTTCCATAAATTTTTCATTAACCAAATTCAAAATGTAATAGTAATAAAAAATTCCGCGAACCGCAAGAACAAGCAGCTGATCGTAATTTTACACGGAAAAAACAATTTGCTGAAATATTTAAAAATTTGACCAGATATAAATCTAAAAATAATTCCGTTCGGTCATAAAAGTAATAATGTTGGGCATTCTAAAATTTGATGATATGAATTTTTGATATTTTAACAATCAATTTATCATTTACATATCATTTACATAATTATTTTGATGATTTAACAAATTCTTTTTAAATTTATATCTAGCCACATTTTTACACTCAGGAAAACTATTCTTTTTTTTTGGTGTAGAAGATAATATAACATTTTTCTGAACTCAAGGAAACCTTAAGAAGATGAAGGAAATGATAAAACTTTTCTTCAAATGATAAGATTTCGGAAATTTTTTCGAATAATTTGTTATCTTGTCAGAATATCTTCCACTAATATGTTTTTCTTTTGTATTTATAGCAAAGGAGCCTAAAGTATGCGGAAGCGTGAGAAGCGGCGGCGAGGTTTGCTGCTCGGCCGACATGGAAGTGAGACTGCAAGCGCGGGCACGCGACAAGTACGAGAAGGCCACCAAAGAAACTCTCCAGAGAATGCACCAGGTCCTGTCCATGCGAGGAAACAGGTTCCACAGTAAGTAGTACTGTCTTTTTCCGATTTCATCGGAAGGAAATTTGCGGCGCGTGGCGAGCGCTGGATGGTGACGCTCTTTTTCTCTTTCTTCTCTCTGTCTCTCTCTTTATCGTGTTGATCGGGGAATTGAATAAGTGGATGAAGTGCAGCGAAAAGAGAAAAAGCGTTCCTTTGCCATTACGATGTCGAATAAATTCCAAGGAAAATGTCACAAAATACACAGTTAGAAAATACACACACACACACACACACACACACA